CCTTACTTTACCCTCGAGGCGATAGATTCGGTGTTTTGTGATGCCTCGAGGGTAGGATTAGGATGTGTATTCATGTATTATGGTAGAGTAGCAGACTTATACTTCAAGATAACTGAAGAAACATGAGTAAAACTATCCTATTTATTAGCTAGAAATGATAGCAATGGTCTTTTCCTTAAAATTTTAAAAGGTATTATTTGTATAGAGAGACTTATATGATCTATACGGATCATAAAAATTTGAAGTACATATTTGACTAGAAGGATTTGAATTTAAGACAAAAGAGGTAGATGGAGCTACTTAAAGATTATAATTATAGTATTTTGTACCACCGGGGTAGGGCCAATATTATGGCCAATGCCTTGAGCAAAAAATCAACGAGAAGTTTTGCGTATTTATTAGAGGAGAAGTGGTCGTTGATTTAAGAAATGTATAGATTCTAGATTTTAGGTGAAGTTTAGAGTTAGTAAATTGAGAGTTCATTTGGCCTATGTTAAAGTTAGGCTAGTTTTGATGGATCGTATTTGAGAGGCCTAAATAAATGATGAAGACATGCAAGAGATTTTTACTAAGATGTAAAAGAAAAGAAGGCTAAGGTTTAGAGTGGATAATAGAGGTACTTTATGGTTTCACCAAAGGTTATGTGTGCCGAATGATTCGAAGCTAAAGAAAGAGATTTTGAGAGAGAATCAAAATGTAGCCTATTCCGTACATCTCGAGTTATGTCAAAATATATAATGATCTTTGAGAGCACTATTGATCGACAAAAATGAAGAAGAATATTATAGAGTTTTTTTCATAGTGCCGACATGTCAACAAGTAAAGTATGAGTACCAAAAGCTAGCACATAAGTTGTAAAAGTTGCCACTACCAAAGTGAAAGTCGGAGAGAGTGACTATGGATTTTGTGATAGGTTTGCCTCGAACCTAAGGAGGGTTTGATTCAATTTGGATTATTATGGACGGAATACTAAGTCCGCTCATTTCCTACCAATGACAACGACTTATAGATATCTTCAATATACCCAACTATACATTGATTGGATAATGTCTTTCTACAATATTGTAGTTTCTATTATTTTGAATCGAAGTATTTAGTTTACTTCTTGATTCTAAAGGAAATTGCAAGAGGCTCTTACTACGAGGTTAAACTTCGGTATGACATTTCATCATTAAACGGATGGATAATAAAAAAGGATGATTCAAACATTGGAGGATATTATTAGAGCGTGTGTGATGGATCTAAGAAATAGTTGTGATCGCTATTTGCCATTGATTGAATTCTCCTACAATAGCAGCTATAATTCCAATATAAACATGGCACCATATGAAGTTTTATATAGTCAAAAGTGTAGGTCACCTATTTGTTGGCCGAAGCTAAGGAGAAAGAACCTCTAAGGTCGGCGTTGATTCAACTTACTATCGAGAAGGTAAAATTGATCCAAGAATGCTTTTAGGATCGTGCATAATAAACAAATGAGTTATACGAATCTAAAGATAAGACATGTGGAGTTTCAAGTTAGTGATTTTGTGTTTTTTTTATAAAAGGAGTCATGTAGTTTGGCAAGAACAGAAAATTGAACTCGAGGTATATTGGGTCGTTTGAGATCATTAGACGAATTGGAGTAGTGGCTTATGAGTTAGCATTACCATCATAGTTTTCAAGTGTGCATCATGTTTTTCATGTTTCCATGCTAAAAAAACATTTAGATGGGAATAGACTCCTTTTATAAGTTGATATTGGAATGGTTTAATATGATTTTGAAAATGATTTGATTATGTGTTTTGAATAAGATTTCCACTTAAAGGTTTGATTTAATTACATAGATTTAATTACTTGTTTGATTAATATTTTTTATTATGAATTTATTTGTATAATTTAAGCAAGTATTTGATTTATAATTTTGAATATGAGTTTATATTTGAGTTTATACCTTGATTATGAGATTTGATATTGAATTGCATTATCAAATTTGATTTTAAGCGTGTATCGTGTTTGGATATATTGGTTTTATATTTTTAGAATATATGTAAGTTTATTTGGTTTTTGATTTGTTTGATTATCTTAGGGTACCTAGCTACGGAGAACATAGTCTTTGAACTCACTAATATAAAAATACTACAGCTAGCGGGAGATGTGTAGGGCTAGCCTATGTTTCGATCAACATACGATATACATAGCTATAAAAGGCATAGCTTTTGGATGTTCGCATCTAATGATACGATATAATTTGATCACCCGAGTGTAGATTTTCGATACTTGATATGATTTAATTGATTATATGTATTTTGATATTAGATTTCGGTTATGAGTTTGAACGACTTGAAATATGAGATACGATTTAATGTTTAAAGATCTATTTGATTTTGAGAAATATACATTGCATCTTGAGAAGATTTTGAATAATCATCCATCCGTCTTCTTTTTCTTAGCTATGTTGTATGTAATATACCCACTAAATTGTTGTTTTAGTCACGTCCCACTAGTTGAATTTTGTAGGGTTTATGAGATTTTCTATTGACCTTTTTAGAATCGTTGTCTTGAAGTCGATACATTGATGGTGCGACTTATTTAGTTACAATATTTTGAGATTATTGTAAACTATAGAAGCTCTGCTAGTATATTGTAGGAGTTGTGTTATGTTGTTAATTGTTATGTTAGATATGTATAAATATTTTGAATTTAGAGATGATATCGACTAATTAGGTTGTTGATTATGAAATTATAAATTGAGATAGAATTAAGAAGTATTATTGAATTATGATGTGATATTGTGAGTTGAATATGATAAGATCTCTTGATTACTATATGTTTGATAATTATGGTTTAGGTATCCAAGATTTTCTTGAGTCGAGGTGGTCCCACGATCGCTTCCATTCTCGCGTCGGTCATAGCTCACTTTGGAGGTGGTGACAATCTAGAAATAAAAAGTTTAATTTAATCATTTTTTAGGTCTTTGGTTTTGTTATTCTTTTGTATTCATATTTGATATTAAAATTTATAAAATCTTTTCACGTACGAGTCCTAAATATAACTAATTTCTCTTTAAAAAATCAAATTATTTATTCACAAGACATAAAAAAATTATTTAAATAAATAGACATACTAATTTACTTCAATAATATATTAAAATCAAATCGGAGAGCATCTTTTCAATAATTCAATAAATATTTTAAGGAAAATATAAATATAATAATAAAAATGATTACAAGAATAATTTTAAATTTTGAAGAATCGAAATAAAAATATAATATAAGGACTGAAACAAAAAGAAAGTAAAAAACTTTGCAGCATGTAGGATCAAATCATATAACCAAAAATATGATGAACAAAATAAAAGTAAGATCACATAATAGAAACTGCACATAATGGAAACGGAAACAAACATAAAATTCACAAAAAGCTGGAAAAAAAAAAGGGAAAAAGAAGCTTAGAATATTTTTTTCTAACCATGAAATTACAATTTTAATTCAAATAAAAAATAAAAAAAATTAATTACTCTATTATATTTTTTACTAGTGGATGATATTTGGAAACACAAAAAGTTCTTTAACAAGAAAAAGTATATAGTGTGACCAAAACGTCTTCCAAATAAATTAAATTTGGTGATATGTAATGACAAAAAAAAAGGAAGTAAAATTTAATTATTCTGAATTCCCAATTACTAAAAGCAAGGGTTTCTACATTTAGTTATATTTTCTACATATAAATGTAATTTCAATATTTAATATCATTATTTGTGAAAAATCTAATTACTATAAATTGTAAAAAATATAATTATGGTATCTTAGTCTATCTAAGTAATGAAAGTAGATTATAAAGTGAAATTAGCATACCGCCGAGTGGAAATAACACCATCGTTTTAGTACAACTAATTTATTAAGGGTAAAATGGTCAATCAATTTATTTTAATAAAGGTCATGCCTTTATATGTGGTTATGGATTGGATGAACACTCAAAAAATAAAAAAAAAAAAAACAGATGAGAATTCAATTGATGTGTATGTAAGGACAAAATTGTTTATGTATCTAACTTGTGAGACCAAAATGTACTTTTGACCACTACAAAGAACTGCTTTCCATCAAAGCATTTTAATGCTTGTCTAGATGCCCTTGTATGCCAATTAGCAATATCTGGCAAGGGACCTGATTACCCATGGACATGGATATGTCAGTCTTTCCATCAACTTGAAATGGTCCTCCACACCACAGTGAAGGCGACAATGCACGATGGCAGTAGTGGCTGAAACCGCTGTACCAGTTGTATAGCCTTTTAGGGCAGGTGGCATGTATTACCAACAAATGGTGTTGACAGAAGTGGCGGGGAATCCTTCCATGCCCCATTTTACCAGCCTTGCCTATCTATTCAAACACTACAAGTCGGTGAAATAGTAACATGGATAAAAGTCGGTGAAATATCAACATCGGTCTTGATATTGTAAAAAGTTTCATGCTATTAAAACGACAGGTATTGTGCCATGTTATAAGAAGCAGAGGCAGGAAGAACATTTGGGCCATCAGTTATCAGACTCTGACCACAACACAAACAAGTTGAATTAATACACTGAGATGATGCACTGACCCGTAAAAATACTCCATATTTCAGTGAAAAACCTTATCAACATTTTCAATCTGATGCTCAATACCTATATATTACAAACCACATGGAACTACATCGTTTTCTACAAAATTTCTTACATATATTATGTTCCATGACGAAACAGGAGATAAAAAATTGGGATGATGATCGTATAAAAAATTGAACACAAGAAAGACGAAAAATTTAAACTCAAATACAAACAGATCAACCATACATACATACATACACAATCGATTGCGCTGCTAGTTCCCTCCCAAGGATATTGTTGCTGAGATTCTTCAAAGAACATTTTCCATAACAGCTACTTCCTTGGGGAAGGAAGGAGAAGGACCCAGTAAATTTTCAAGGGAGAATTTCCCAAGCCATTGAGATAAGAGCAAGCCAATCTCCTCATTTAGACATCAGCCAAATGGTGAAGGCACAGGTCCTGTGAGTGCATCTGATCTCTTGATACTTCCCATTCCACAGATGATGCATCCAGGTGCAGAGAGAGCCGAAAATTTGGCTCCACATAAATCACAAACATCATATCCGATTGTTGAAAGACGGCTGAGTGTGGCAGCACAGAACTGGGAAGGATCTTCCAAAGGATCAATAGACTTATTGGATGAACCCCTCTGAACACACATGTCAATCAGGCTTCTCAACTCATCCTGCTTACTTGGTGGAGCTTTGGACAGAAGGAGCTCAAGCATCTGTTTGGCATAAGCAAAGTTCTGCACTTCCATGTTTCGCTTAATGGCAGTTCGGATGCAATTTATTCTGTGCTTTGCCAGAAGAGGTAAAGAACCCAGATGCCGTGACAATCTTGCCATCTCATCCTTTGCACTGAGTGCACTTGGGCCTTGAACTTTCTGCAGCCGTACAATTTCCTGTGCAAAAGATACTAAAGCATTATTTTTGCAGACATAAGGAAAGGGACCTCGAATGCTAATGCTAGTTGATGGCGAATAATTTAATACATGCATTTATAGAGCATGACTTGACAAAAGGGATGCATTGAAAACAAAACAAAAAGAAAGAGTGTACAAAGTAGAACTGAAGTTTTAATTTCTTTTAATGAGCATCAATGAATATACAGCAACACAGATGTTGTTTTAACAGACTCAAGGAAATGACATGATTATATTCCAGTCCATTCATTTCAATTTAAACCCAGCCAGCATTAGTTAAGCCAGAACTTGTCAGCGAGTTAGGCCTGTCAAGGCCTATAACAATTCATATTTTTAGGTAACAAGAACTTCACTTATTTCTTGGAGTCCAAAATTTAAAACGCACCTTAAGGAGAGTAACTGCTATCTTGTACTGAGCACAGATAGTTGCTTGAGCTTTAATATCAGCTCCACGAGAGTTATCCTTAGCTAGTGCCAGGAAAGCTTCGTCGAAACATGACAAGGCATCAGGAAGTTGATTCTGTTCAAGGTGTGCAAGTCCAGTCTTGAAACATACTGGTGCAGCTGCCCCTCGGGGAACCTATCAAGAGCCAAGGCACAAGAATTAAAAACAGAGGCAGGGAAAAGACACTAGATTACAAACATGTCATCAACTGAGCATAACCAATACAAATAGCAGCCAGTGACACAGCATCAGGGAGTATATTCAAATTCCTGCAGATCAATAACCTATCAAGAGCCAGCACTTCTTATATACCTTCCCCACAGTTAGGTTGAACACTCATTGGTTACTCTAATATTTTAAAAGACATTCAATAGCATACATTGGCAGAAAAAGAAGAAGAAAAAATCAAATCAAATCAAAGATAGAAAACTGAAGCAACAAAATTGCAGATTCACCTGTCCAGGTCTCACAGATGATGGCGGAGACGCAGGGGCAGGAGATTTTCCTGAATCTTGGCCTCCAAGAACACTAAGATCAAGAGGTTGCGTGGAAAGGGGGACCTGAGGCGCTTGAACTTGAGGCTGAAGTTGAATAGCAGCCTGACTGGAAGCTTGCGGTGGGACACCACCATCAGCAAGTCCAATGGACCCAAGCGGGGCAGATGGTGGAGTTGCTTGAGGTGGAATGCCACCATCAGGAAGACCAATATCAGTCACAGAAGCAGCAACTGGGTTGGGTGCTACATTGATGCTTCCAACCCCTTGAGAAACTTGATCCAGTTTTGCAAGATAAGTTCCTGGAGGAGGCAGTGATGCTGCAACTTGCAGGGAAGGTATTGTGTTCTGGAAAAAGTCCTCTGGGATAGGTCGAGCTGTAAGTCCTCCACCCATAACTGCAGGACCTGGTGCTGGCTGCGTTAATGAATCAGTACCGAACATATCACCAGGAGCAGAAACTGGGGCAGTGGTGGTTACATTTGCACTGGTAGCAGGAGGTTGGGATAAAATCTGACCAAGGTCTTGAGAGCCAGTCAATGACTTTGTCCTCATGGGTGGGCCTAAACCATCACCAAGTTTAAACTGCCTTGTAGCTTCTTTGATCTTGTTGACATCCACTGTAGTAGATGAAACTGGCTTATCTCGAATTCTAATTTGCAGTTTCTTAGTTTTTGGCACTCCTTCCTCGTCACTGCTGCTACCATCAGCAGTTCCATACATTGTTTTCTTGAATTCCTCTTCTGCTTTAGCCTGTTCATCAGCAGCAGATGTACCTGCGTTTTGTTTGGTGACAGTTTCCAGACCCAACAAAGAATCAAGCTTCACATGACCATCAGGCTGCCCATTTGACTTATTGGATATAGATTTAACTAAAGAATTTGGAAGCCCATTTGGCTTATTGTCACCAGCAGGGATAAATGCTTTGACTAAACTATCTTCCCTAACTTCAACAACATTGCCTCTTCCTTTAATTGAACCCAGGTAAACACCAATATGATCTGTAATAATGGCCGGGATGGTACCATCATCAGTCTTCATGTATGGCATCACTTCTCCAGCCAACTCCCACTGAGGTATGCTCTTCAAATTAGTAGGAGTTTTAATTTCCCAGTTTCCACCACCCCATTCAGGACCTTTGGGAACCATGCTCTCAGCAGCAAAGTTGGCAAAAATGCCTTGCGTCCACCCAGTAGAGCGAATTCTTAGAATCCTTTCGCAGTACCGCCTCAACTCTGAATCCAAACTTTCTTCCTCCAGTTTCTGAGCAAGACGCCGCATGGCACTGGGGTTAAGGTGGCATATAAACAAATCAAGCATGCTTTCATAATCTGCAATGACTTCAAAAGTTTCCTTTGCGCTATCAAACTGACCATACCTGCAATTAGAAATTTATTAGTTGTTTAAGGGAAAAATGGGCTATTTAACAAGAACTATACAGCCACAACAGATAACTATCACATCTTAAATCAGAACAAAAGAACTTCATATTCTGCACATCAAGAAAATGAGAATCTTTAGATGTAAGATGAAAATAAAAAACAACTATTTCTAAATACTAAATTCACATGCCACCACACTACAAAGACAAAGCAAAAATACTCAAAATCTTGTGTTTTAGGTGACCCAAAAACATGAAATGTTTAGAAGAAAAATTAAGATTGACTATAAAGAACAAACCAAAAATACAGTTTCTGGAAGTGTAAACCTCTATCCCAAAATTACAAATAAATATATTTCAAATCATCCTAACATGAATGTATTCTCTATACGACCTTAAAACTCAAATTTTGTCAAAAATAATTAGGAAAGAGTGGAGAAGAGTAAGGTGAACCCCAAAAATCTTGTTGGCACATGCAGAGAATGCCAAAAAGTTGTTGGAAAGAGATAGAAAATTGCAAAAGGGAGAAAGAATGAAAGATAAGAAAGTTTCAGCGGTTTAGAGAAAAATAATCACAAGTGTGGTGATTGACACAAACAGTTTTATAAATGAGCTGCAAACTCTAGAAGGTTGTTCCCCGAAACATGACTTGATAAAAGATATTACACCTAAACATTTTCACTTTAAAAACATCCATAACAATCACAGAGTAAGTGCCAATCAATGTACAGATAAAAGATAGATGCACGAGGTGCATATACAAGCACAGGCAAAAAATATTTTCATCTGCTTACTTAATACATGCATATCCCAACTGGCGAAACCGGTGGAATAAATGTGAGGTTGGAGGACATTTTGGATAATCTCTAGAACGCAAGAACTCATCCTTCAAAACAGATAAAGCAGTAGAAAAACGGAGAGCTTTGATAGCATACACACCCCGCAACACCTGGGTTTGACACACAACATATTCAGAAACTATTTAGATGAAAATAAAAATTGGGGGAAGTACTACATCAGATTTCACTCACCTGAGTGAACTGTGGACCAGCTTGGGATAATGAAACTGCAAGATCTCCACAAACAGGAGAACCTCTGGCAAGAATATCAAGAGATCTTGGTGTGATACGCAAGCTGTCAAACCTTCATTCAGATAACACGCAAGAGAAGTCAGATATCTAGAATTCTTGTATAGCAACAAACTGATATTGCAGAAATGTATGGAAAGTGCAAAAGGTCCTTAATTAATATAGCAATGGGATCAAGATTTTGTTTCATAATGCAAAGAAATGCCACTGGACACAAAATATAGCTTGTGCAAAAGAGGGGAAGGAAAACCTTGATGTAATCTGGTACAGTATTTCTGACAGCTCAAGCTTCTGCTCAAAAGTTTGTTGCATTGTGGCAAATCCAATAAGAAGAGGTTCAAGGAGTCCAACAAGACAGCTCTTAATCTCGACCCCTTTCTTTTGTCTGGGATTAACATCTGTTGTGTTTGCAAGCAGCAATCTATCATTCAGAGAACCGACCAAAACTGCACAGAGCATTAATATCAATCACCAGGAAGATAATAGTGCATGCAAGAGTTGCAATTAATAGCATAAATCCACTTCTGAGAACACCAAACTATGATAGCAAAAATACTAACCATTCACAATATAATAAGATATGTACCTGCATAGGGCATGCTAACAGAAAGAACTGTCCTCACAATTCCATCCCAGCCAAGCACACTAATTGCAGTGGCAGTAGAAAAAAGAAGAGCAGGTCCAAGCCATAAAAGGGATCTATAGTGCACATAAGTTAAGTGTTCAAAGAAATATGTATGCTCAATTATATCAATTAAATTATCAATAAAAGGGACAAGTTTCATCCAATTTTTTTTTTATTATTTTTAAGGATATTGAAGGAAGTCCTTTATCAAATTTTGTGGAACTGCTTGCCAGTATATCAAGATCCGCTGAAACCATAAGCACCCTGTGTGTGGTTAATATCCCTGCAACATAGCCTCGAAGAGTTTCTTGCCAGTGCACCTACAGGAGCAATTAACAGTGCCATGGTTTTCAGCAAATAATTTCAAAATTTAAAATATCTTGCATATTCTTGTCATGGCACACAGTGTACTTTGCTCAAACAAAACCAAATAAATGGTTGATGTTACATGTAAATTGGTCAGTAATTAGAAAATTCAGTTTCAAGCTTTTACATAATCAGTGGGTTAGAGTCTATTTTCTTGATGCAAAAACATAAAAAATGTATCAATTGGCAGACTGAACATATACTAGTAATGAAGGTGACAGCACTGTACTCTCTATGTTAATTCGGCCTAATTGTGATAAAACTTGAAGGTGGCAGTTTGGCCACAGCAACAACATTATAAGACTTGTTATAGCCTATATTCTTGGTTTCCCTACAATTGGTGTTTATAGAAAGAGAAACTGCATGACAAACTACAACCAATTCATTATGTTTATTAAACACAACACATGTTCTAAAAGCACATGTTGGTATGTCAAACATTGTAGTATACTCTATGCAAAACCTTCCTTCGTCCATAGCCACCAAGCACTGAATCAAAATGCAGTATGCCTGAGCCACAGGAATGACCCCGCATGTATTTAGCCAACTACAGGCAGTAACTAGAATTGAAACTGCATATCCTATTATAAAATCTACTAATAGTTACTGACTGCAACCTGAAATAATCTACTACAGAAACATGTATCCAGCACAGGCCCATATGCACACAGTTGAGGCAGGCCACCAGATCAAAATAATGTGCTTTAAAAACAATACAATTCTGAAGGTTTTTTGCAACATAGACAATGAGGGATCTTTTAACTGTATACTAATACGATCCAGTTGTCACAGCAGCACAGGTACTGTTTGACATTTTGCTTCAGACAGCACTCCATGCGGGCACAAATTCAGTACTCACAATAAAAAGGACTGGTAATGCCTCTGTTTACTCATGGGAGGGTACTACAGGAAATTGCTTCTCAATTAAGGCTCAACTCTTTACCATGGTCTTTTTTTTTCCTTTGCCATTTTGTTTTTAAACAATAAACCTTTTGTTTTGCTGGAAAATTAACCTATTTACCTGGAGGACAATCTCATTCACTTTCAACTTGATTGGCTTTTTCCCTTCAGTTTTAGTTGATATGTAATTACCATCTGAAGTTGAAAGCCGGTATCCTTGCACCATCTTTGCAAAGCCAATGTGGCTCCCATTAGAAGCAAACATCAAAGTTGACTCTGCAACAAAGTGCGATTTCAGTCAACACTATATTCCATTATGGATGTGATATCAAAGATGAAAGATCTGATTTCCTCAAGTACCTAATGGTGTGGTAAAAATACGATCAACTTCACTTTCAAACAGCAACTGCATAGGACCCCGAAGAGAGGCACCATTTGTTTCAGCAAAATGGTTTTCTTCAAGTAATAAATTTTTTTCACCAGCTTCCTTTGAAGCTCCTCCTGGCAGAATATACAGAGACACTCCAGTCTTGTCTTCATCAAGAATTGCAAATTGATTTTCACTTGGGCCAATAAATGCAGCATCTCGACCTAGAAAAGTCCGAACAGCTAAGTTAGTGATTGATTACATGGACAAAACAGTGGGCAATATCAGTGACAAACACATTTGACAGACACGCATACCTTTGATAGTGCTTCCTTTGTTGTTGGCTGGCTGAGTATCAGTATTTTCCCAATAAAGGACTACTTCATTTGTAGAGCCACTGAATTCATAAACAACAAGAAATAAACGTTGTTTTTTACTATACACCATGTGCTTCGCTTGGTATTCCACGTTTCCAGGAATCTGAAAGAAATACTTGATTTAGCAGCTCTAATTATGAAATGACCTTGCAGTAAGCAAAAGGATAACATAATGAAATTCAAATAGAGATACGTCGCCTCACAATATTTCACTACCAAAAAAAAATATTGTTTTAATATTACCGATGTGTAAAGTTTCTTGTATATACTATCCGCTCCAGAGCAGAGATTATATGCCATGAGGTTTACGCCATCAAGGTAAAAAGCTCTGACAGGATAATGCAGTACTCTGTTCTCTTTGTTAAAGAAATTTAGCTCCAAGTGAAAAGGCTGCCAATGAAGCCAACATTGTCAGATGCAAAATAATGCAAATCAAAATAAATAATTAATTCAGTTACCTGGCAAACAGGAATGTCCTTCAGATGATGTTTGGTATCCAAAATAGTGATGAGAGGAAGCCGAGATATGGGAGCACTTTTGGCATGGCCTTCCATGAAATGCTGCAAAAATCATGAGAAATTAATGAGTAAGCAGTAGAGCAGATCGGAGAAAGACAGCTTATAACCCAAAAGTGTTCTAGAAACATTTCTGGGCTATGAAATAAAAATAAGTAGATGGATAGCAAATAATTAAACGTATAATAGAGCATATAAATTCTGATTCAATTGAATCAATGAAATGCTTGATTTTCTGGCTCCAGTAGAATCATCTTTTCAATATCTGGTTAAAGAAATCCAACTGAAGTCAACAAATCAAGCATATTTTTACCCATGTTATATGTCCTTCAACCTTATGCAAGACTCTGACTCCACCGAACTGAACTACACTCTATATAACAATGGCTATGGACTCAAATAAGAGCTGAAGGAGGTCTGACAAGTTGCAGCCATGCAATTTTGGTTAAACTTCTAACATCCCATCACAGCTATGACTGATGATTATTGCATAATGCCTTCTACAAATTATGGATTCAATCATTTACTAATCGATAGTCATATCACAGCAAACAGGAAATGAGATGATCAAGTAGAACACATGTACACTGTAAAGGCCAGACCTTTCTTTTCTATGAAGAACTAACGATGGACCTATTATTCAACATTTATAACAGAAGGAAAACAGAGAATTTGACTGGATAATAGAATTAGTGTGGTAGGGAAACAACATACACTGTAAAGGAATGCCTTCCTTGCAATGTCCGAAATTGTCAGCTGACTTTGGCTGCCACGAAAAATAGTAATTTTCATTAATAATGCAGCAAAATGAAACGAATAATAAGCTTTGTTATTATTTTATACATTAGAGAAGATTGCATATTAAGCATTGATAACAGAGCACAGAAATAAGAGGAAGTCATGACGTGAAAATTCCAAACAATCACCATCAATGTGCCCACTTTAAAATCAATTTCACCAACCACCCAAAGGTGGAGCCAACTATTCTAGAAATCTACATGACCCATGACCAGAATCAATAAGCATTGATAACAGCCTCCCCTCTGTTGGTCAGAATCAATAACTTGGTAATTGTTCAGACTCACCCCTTGAGATAATGCTCTTGCAGTTGTGCTTGAAGTTGATGGTCAGCCAGAATTCCTGATGAGCCCAAGGATGAGAGCTTTTCTTTCAAAACAGAGGCTGCAAGTCACCTCTACCATTAGCATATCAAGATAATAAGCACAAATCTACTATATCCATAACATGATAATATGTTTGAGCCAAGATGGCATCAAAAGGTTCAAAAAATTAATCATCCACTCTTAGAAACTGAAATTAATCATACACATACAAGACACGAAATGCACGTTAACTTTTACATGCACAAATACACATACTTCAAAAAGAAAAGAAGCAACAACATGAGATAAATCCCATCCCAGTGAATGTCAACCCAAAATACACCTCAAAAAAACCCCAAAGCATTGCTCAGTAAAAGAGAAAAACTATCCTATTCTAGACAATGACCGTGATGCTACAGCATTCTATTCCATCCAAATACACCAAATAACTGAAGAAACAACAGATCTCAACAAAAATCTTACAATCCTCGTAAAATTCCATTAAAAATGCATTTTTTTTATCACTCAGTACGTCTCCCTCCCACCTATAACTAAATCTTGTCCCCTTCATTTTTTTTTTCAGCTTTCCTGGGCATTGCACACTAATTCCATACTTTCACGTCTCTAAATTTTATACAAGCACAACCCTTTTACATATTAAAAAATCCAAGGATTTTAATTCCCTGAAATGCATAAATTAAAACTTTTTTTTCTACAAAAAGCCCTGCAACTGGAGCCTAGAACACAAGCCACCAAACAGCTATTGCATTGCCGTAAAATAACAATATGTTCAGACCCAGATCAATATACAGAATCTAAATACATTGTTCTATAAATCCAAAAATCCCCAATTTTCTAAGCCCTCGCTCACTAAAAAGCACCTTGACGGTTTCTCCAAAATATATTACAACAGTACTCCTATGTATATTAGACAGTACTCCTATGTATCTTCTTTCATAAAACGCAGTAAAAGTAAAATCAGAATAGGTTACTAGCTAAAAAGAGTACAAAAAAGATAATTTTGCAACTGTAAAAAATCAATATTCCAGCGTTCTATGAAATCAGCTGTAATAAATTGAAAGAACAGATTAGTCAACAAAAAAGATGAAAGGGTTCCAAACAGATCCAGGATTTCAGATTGAAAAAACCATTCACCTGAAGATCCCCTTGCACTTTGCAGAACAGCAAAGAGTTGTTTCCTTCCATCCCTCGTGTAAGCAGCCCTACTTTTTACATTGTCACCCCCATTCATATTCTGTCACGAAGGAAAAAGAATCCACTTTAAGCTTCTGATATAACAATTGGAATTTGAGCAATAAAGATGGTTGTGCTTAACTGCAAACAACAGAGTTGCTAAATTTAGTTTGGGGTGAACTTCTAAGGCTTTGATTTTCGGTAAAGGATAGACTGCTTCTCCACCCTGTTGAGATAAAATACGCGGGATGTCAATTGATTCAATTCCTGTACAGCAGCATGCATAAAGAAGAATCAGTCAGTATGACTACCGTTAACATTACATGAAAGAACAAATAAAAATATTGAATCATCAATCAAAATTCAACTGAAATCTCTGGATCTTGGGCGTCTTTTCATGACCTTCATAGTTTTCTATTACTCAAGCCCCAGCCGCTGAACATTTTATAGATGACTTCCATTTCTAGCTCAGTAGAACAATTTATCTTGTTTAAAAAATGTATACAAAATATTTAAAGAAGCATAACATTCAGCTAACTCCATTACATTGTGACATATAAAAAAGAAACAGAATATGCTGCAGGAAATGACCTTCCTCATTAGCATCAGCAACTAAATTCAGCCCTTGGGCTTTAGCTCAAATGTGTGATGATGGGATGGGAATGAGATATGCCTTATGTTTAACTTTTACCTTTGCCACCAGTAAGAAGTAAATAACCTTGAAGGACAACTATGAGAGTTTTATGAATCCACATAAAAACACAATATAAGTGTATCTGTCCATTCTTTGGATATTGAAGCAGAATGGTTGTTCAAAAAGACAGTGACTAACCAGCAGGCTCGAAAAAATTTGCTTGCATTGGAGGTCTATTAGGATTGAGTATCACTCGTGTTTTCCACGCTTGTAAAGTTCCATCCTTAGAAACAGTAACAAGTAACCGCAACAATGGAAGCCAAGCAAGTGATGTGATTGGTTGGGAGCCCACTTGTGTTCTGCAATTGCACATAAAGCAGATCATTAGAAGTGAAGTCAAATACAACAAGTATGGTGATGACAGCATGGCAGCTGAATAATGGAAGAATCAAAAGCTTCTCCAACAATTCATTAGCTCATTGTTCATTATGGCCAAAACAAGGTAGGGTTTGGAAGAGAATCAGTAACCAATATGGCCATTTAAACACTTCTGCATCAAGCAGCTACTTTGGAAACTCAAACCCATCATCACGCCCTTGTAAGTGCAATTCAAAACTTTTTCCTTTGCACCAATTACTAGCCTAAGGTCATATGTAAAATGACACTATAAATTATATGCACTGTTTCCTATAATTTTTTCTGTAAAAAAAAATAAATAAATAACGCAAGCTTCTATTTATTGACAAACTATGATGAAGCTGTTTGTATAAAACTTAAAAAAACTGAAAGCATTATGATTAAGTAGAGCTGCAAATGTACCTGCTCCGGTTCCGCAGGTCCACTCATGAATTGATTTTGTTAGACATATGTTCATATAAAGGTGCCCCATTCAAATATTTGATTTTCCATTTCAAAAAATGTTAACTTTCTAGTTATATAGTTGTATCCACAAGCCCTATCTTTTAACAGATCCATCAAAAGAACAACCAGAGTCTAGCTTTCCCAACCCTTTAGTGAAAGACCAAAAAAATCTGATACTTAAAATTTATAGTTTACAAAAGAAAGGTAATGAATCACAGTTTTATTAGTTAGTCCAAAATGGATCTGGGAATTGAGCATTTACCACAACTATACTTAGAAATTCAAATCAGTGAACTCACTAACTTCCAATCAATGAACTAACCAACCACTGGAAGATACCAATATTTCCCTCTGTAGCAATTTCCATACATATCAGTAGTCTCTCCTTTTACAATATCTAAACAACAAAAATTAGGAAAGAAAGAAAGATGAAAAGCATGACAAAACTCATTGATATAGCCTCTGTTAAGCAAGCGAGAAAACAGTATATCTGCAGAACAACTTACATTCCAATCATAGTAGGTCTCTCTGTTGAGACATCCCAAGCCAAAAGGGTACCACGTCTATCACCAACAAAAATCCATTCCAACGTCGGATGAAAAGCAAATGAACCAGCACCAATTAGCTTAATGGTATTATCAACTGCAACGTTGAACCAAAGAAAGAAAAGGTGAGCATAATGTGTTTGAAGGAGGCTTCCTCTAAAATAAATACTGTAATTATCAATAAACTTACGTTGCAATGTGTAATGAACAGCATATGAGTGAATGTTGTAAGCTCGAATCAGACCATCTGCATAAGCAACAAACTGGAAGAAACAACGCAAAATTAAACCAAACAGTTGATAGAACTTCTATTGAACAGCAATGAGCAGTCAGAAACATGCAGTAATCAGGAATTGCAATGGATCAGACCTCAGTATTGTCAGAATCCAATCTGATCTAATAATATAGATTTGATTGAGAAAATTTTATCCATTGATTACTTTACAATCCAAATCTGAATGATCTGATTATTAACAAAGTCAAATGTGAACTTATAATACAGCCATCCCCCTTTCCTAATGGAAAGATTCAAGCCTCAGACTGTCCACAACTCCAACTTAAGTATTATACAGGTCCAGGTACAGCTATCTTCACCATCCAGCAATACAATAAAACTGACCGGCAGGAACATACACACAACAAAATATCGATACACAAGCTCGCATCTCAACCATATGAATGAAATGGTACTCAAATTCTCAAACCTTCAACAGTACTTGTCTCTACTCCATGTATAGAAGGACCATGCAAATCAATCGCTCTTAAGTATGCAAGGGTAACATGATAGAAGGCAATGCAAGCATAATAAGCGGTCAGCTACTTCTGCTCAAACAATGACTGCATACTTCTATAATATTTACTCATCTCCTTCACTAGCCCTTCCAACAATATTGAGAAATCTATACTTATTTTCATGTTTGATACACAAAGAGGATTAGACTTTACATGTTTCAATAGAAAAACTGCCTCTCTCCTTCACTTTATTCTTGGGGTCATCAAATAAGTAATGTTGAATGTGAAAATCAATCCAAGGATAATCCCTAAGCTGGTTTTCCGAACTAAACGAATATGAAATTTCATAGATCCTCTTTGCTGATTCATTGAATTATCAGATATGATAGGATTTTTTTTTTTTTTTTTTTTTAAGACCCATCTTGATCCAGTCTGACATTAGCTCAATTGAAGCCATATCAAAGATCACCAGAATAAACTAAAACAATTTTTAGAATTCAAATAAATTACCAGGACAGGAAGGCGCGTATGGCAAGCAAGATTTACTATAGGCTTCTTCAAATCAGTCTTTATTTTTGTCGGAGCCCTTCCTCCATCAATCGTTCCAACCACTTCACACCAAAAATTACACAATTACAAATGCTACAAAATTGCCGCAATTTATAAGAAACAATAAGCATTAAAGAGGGAACAAAACGAACCAACCAGTTACGCTCATCCTGCGGTGGAAGCCGAAAAAAACAACAGGTTGCAATGGGGTCAAAGCCATATGAACTTCAGTATCGAAAGATATCGGTTCCATTTTCTTTTCAGGTGAATGCAAAACCCAACTCTGCTCCGTATCAAAATCACAGGAACGAATCGTACCATCCTAAAATTAAATAATTAACAAATTACTAATTACTTAGATGCTCGAAAAAATGTTAAACTAAAAAATGAAAACTGCGAAAGATTTAAACGAACCTCAACCATAGCAATAACAGCATGGCTAGAAGTAGGACTATAAGCCATGCGAAGAACAGATGCACCAATGTCAATTGCGGACAACTTGCTTCCTGTTATTGCATCAAATTCTACCGAAAAAAAAAACAACAGCAACAAACACTAAATTATTATTTTAAAAAATCAATTGAAGGGAAAAAAGAAAAAGCATAAAAAACCTAATTAATTACCGATGATGTAAGTTCCGATCGCGGCGGCAATGAGAGTTTGAGTAGGGTGAAAAGCAGCAGCATGAGGTTGTAATGGTTTGTGCAAGCGTCGGCCGACATGTCTTAGATCCAGATGGTGCACAGTTGTCCACTCCATTCTTGTAGCTTTCTGGTCTTCTTCACTTTTTGTATAGATATAATGATAATAGCATGATTACAGTTCAAAATTTGTGAATTGGAAGATTAGATCTGAATTGGAAGTTTATGAATTGGAGGAATTGGAGATTGCATTAGATGTTTGGAATGGGTAGTTGTGTGAGAAGAGAAGAGATTTTGATGGCGTGACTTGCAAAGCAAAGTAGATCAAAAACAGTAAATGAAAAGGCAGAAGAAGAAGAAGAAGAAGAAGAAGCTTTGTAAAAGGTGTGAGAGAAAGAGCAGTTGAGAGAAGAAGACCAGAAACATGGGCCAGCTATAGAGGTGTCTGTTAGTTTGGGCTAATAAGAGTGTCATGACCTTTATTTTGGGCCTTTGTTGGTTTGGATCAAGACCTCTTATTTTTTACCTTTGTAAGAGTTTGATATTAAAATTTTAGATTATGCTACATAAATCAAACTCAAAAAACATTTGATGGTAATGAAAATTCTACTTTTTTAGAAAAAATAATAACTCAAAAATGGATTATTTTCTAAATATTTTTTTTTAATGATATAGCCAAATATCGAAAAATGATGTCCGACTCATTTTCCGTGATACAATCAATCATAGAAAAGTAATCGATTTTCGTGAAAATTATTTAGCTTTCAAAAGAATTCCACTTTCCAACAAGAAAAATCAGGGCTCTATTAATTTCACACTGAAAAGACACAATGGCTTCACTTGTGAATTCACTCAATGTTGTGGCCATCTATTTCATGTGTCCGTTTGTATTAATTTGATAGTTAGAAAGTGTTTGATTTAGGAACATTAGTCTAAAATTTTTAATCGTAAAGTTGACTTCAACCTCGATTCACAAGTTTGCTCTTCCGATAAGCAAGTTGGTTATAAATTTCATCCAAATTGGTTATGAGTTTCAAGCTCGATTCACAAGTTTGTATTAATAAATAAGTTTGTTCTTCTAATATGAAATTCATAACCAACTTACTTATCGAAGAACAAACTTGTGAATTGAGCGGGAAGAACTATTTTATTTAGTCTATCATTTCTTCCATTTTCTATACACTATGAGGTTTTGTTGGTTCCTAACGAGCATTTGTGAAGTTATTGATAAATGTGGCCTTAATTTTTATGAGAAACGATAGAAATAGGTAATTCTAATGGAAATTGCAACTATTGCTAAGTTTGATGGAGGGCTTGGGTCCGCAAACAATAAGGAAGAATAATGTTGCCATGTTTGGTAAACTCTATTGCTTGCATTGTCACGAGTTGTTGATAAATCTTGGTTTAAAGGTGATTATATCTAGATATCTCAAGCTTCATTCTCTTGCGGACTATATTCCATGTCCAAATATCTCTTCGACCCGATGTGTAATTGTTAAAGCGAGTTCATCTTTTGAAACAAGGTTAACATTCTTAGACAGTTGGTGATGGTAGGAGTATCTCGTTTTGGCATAATCATTAGGATGGTGACTACCTTCTTAGTCATCGGATGAATAATATTCATCCTAATGATGCTTCTTTTTTGGTTTATGATATTATTTCTCCTTAATAGACTTGAGATTTTTCTCATTTCTCTTTCGAGTACTCAATGCTTTCGATAATTTAATTAAAGCTATCCCGCTTCATAAATGGTCGGGTGTTCAAGATTGGCCAATGGAAGGGATCCTTCGATGGCGAGTATATTGTCATAGACGGATATATACATATCTTACCAAGACTCTTTATCCTTTAGACATGGAGTCAAAATGGAGAATTGTCTAGAAGCTACCAATTCCTCATAAATTAAAATTTTTTCTTTGGTTAATGAATTGGCAACTAACTCTTTAAGGTACAATAGGTAGATTTTTAAGTTTTTCGTGTTACGGAATAATATAAATTATATCTTGTGACCTTACCTAGCTTAAGTTTTTAGGTGAGATAGTCTTTTGACATAGTATCGAGCCTCGATGATCAAATGGTCGTGAGTTTGAATCCTACCACCCCCACTTTCTCCTCGAGTGAAAGGGTTTCACCTAAAAGGGTATGCTGTGAGAATAATATAAATCATATATTGGAGCCTTACCTAACAATTATAAGCTTTTAGGTGAAATTGTCCTTTAACATCCTGCTTGTCCTAGATGCGAAAAGAGGAATGAGGACATAACTCATATTTTAAGGGATTTTATTTGGGCAAGGAATGTAAAGAGTTATTCGAGTACTAGGCTTGATTTCTTTTTTAGTTGCGGGAGCGAGTGGTTCATGTAAAATGTGTTTGCTACTTCTTGTAATGACGATAACATTAGAAGATTTCTTTGCGCTTGTTGAGTTATATGGTATGCAAGGAACAAAAATATTTTTTAAGACAAGACTATCTCTATTATAGGACAATCTTTTGTTATGAAACAGATCAAACAAAAAAATAGAGTAGAATAAATAAAAACAATCATACAATACAAAAATTTTACTTGATTCGTCAATGGTGCACACTCCACAAATATACTAAGATTTCTCATTAGGTTTTGTCAAGTGACGACTACAAATACAAGTGATGTTGTCTTTATTTGTAGTATTGACAATTAAGGTTATAAGAAAAAAAGTCTAACGAGCCTATACATATGGCCCAATATTCTATAGACTTTTTGGGAGCTCCGCCTCCGAGCCTCTATAAGGAGCACTCGCCTCCTTAACCTTCGCTTGCTAATCGGCAAGTGAGACCGTCGTGTTGGATCTATATTGCGCCTTATACTCGTGGGCTACCATCTATAACAATCTCCATAATTTAGCATCTTTTTATATCCAAAACCTTTCTATTACTTATGATAGGGCTTTTATTAATCCACCCGGTGGTAGAGACGCTAAGCAAGTTACATGGATTAAACATTTTCTTTCATTTATCAAGGTTAACATTGATGATAGTTTTTTAAGTAATCCGAGATAAGTCGATATGGGAGGTTTTGTTAAAGATGCTAATGGTCATTGAATTTTAGGCTTTTATGATTCCTTGTGTTGGATTCCTAATATGTTGATCTGAATTTCATGCTATTTATCTTGACATAATCTTACTTGGAACTTGAGCTATAAAAAAACGATCGTGGAGAGTGTGTATTGTCACGGAGATGATTAATACACTCATTCATATTATGTTGTCATTGAAGATATCATAATCCTCCTCCTCCTTAGCTGGGAGTACAAGCTTATTCACATTCTTAGAGAGAAAATAATTGCGTAGACTATTTTGATCAATTGGGAGCTTAAAGTCGGACCTTCGAGCGATTTGTTCTTCTCCTCCCACCCTTGCTAGAGTAGTTCTTGAATCTTCATTCAATGTGCAAAAAAAAAAAATGATATGTAAAAACCTTCTACTTGCATTGAAATTGAGTTATTAAATTTTATGGTGTAGTCCGAAATCGAATTCGGAAACCAAAAATATTTTATTGTGTGCGATGTAATTAATTAGTATTGCTCCATGTGCAATAAGAAAAGGAGATAAGATATTGTTGATCTTAATTCTACGAGTCCATATCCTAATTTTTTTTGAATGTTTTAATTTGGTATACTATTATATTTATAACAAGAAAAATCTTAATTTAGTCTCTAACTTATATGTTTATTCTCAATTGATTCCCAAAATAGATATATTTTGATAATTGGATCTCTAATATATCACACATTTTTCAATCGGATCCTTATATATATATATATATATATATATATATCTTGTCTATTTGCATATTTCATGCAATAAGAAGGACGTTTTGATGGTGTGAATTGCAAAGCAAAGTAGATAAGAAAAAACAATAAATGATGAAGGTGGAAATTTTGTAAATGGCGGGAGATAGCATTTGACGGAAGAAGACCGAATAATGGGCGGCTATAGATGTGGGTCGTTATTTTGGGCTAATAAAAGTACTCGTGAGCTTTATTTTGGGCTATTTTGGGTTGCACCTAGGCCTTTAAGAGTACTATTATGTGATAAAAAAGTTATTGGTTTCTAAGAGTTAATGTTAAAAAAAAAAAATTAATTTGAACATTCTATGTGTGCAATCGAGCTACCAAATAAATTTTAGTCCAAAATTAATGTCGTAGGAACCATTGAAAAATTCAATATGGGTTATGTATAATTCAATGGTATTGTTTCATGCAAAGTAAGAGAATGTCATATAATTATAAAGTCACTATCTTAAGAAAAATAAATAAATGGTATTTCTAATTTTATTTTACCGATCATGATTTTTAAATCAAACATGGGAAACATCATTTCATTAAAAATAAAAAATAAAAAAAGAAGGGAAAACCTAGATTTGGTTCTTACCTACATGTTATCCAAAAACAAAAAACGTTTGTCAATTGGATTGTGTCAAATATTTCTCAATCTTGTCCCGAAATTAAATGTTGTTGCTATTTTAGTTTATCTTTCGATTTTCTATCTCGTGCAATAAAATGATAATTGTTTTAAGAAATTTAGACATCGAACTTGATCAAGCTTTTATTTGGGGATGAAATTGAGAATTAGGTAGTAAGCTAGGGCTAATGTGTGGTTTCCCCAAATCCAATACATTCGGAATCATGGCTTTACAAAAAGAAATTATTAAATTCGAGTGCAAACAATTGTGTGGTTAAGTACGGTGGTATAGTTGTTTGGGATATACTTTCACTCTATATGTAAATTAGATTTCGTGAAAAATAATCAAGTGAAACACACATAATAATTAAGAATATAAATATATCAATTATAAAAACAGATTTATAAAAATACTAAATTTATGTGAAAAACTTTATTTATCGTAGAGAAAAAAACTATGAGATCAATTCTAAAATAATTTATTATAATTAAAAAAAAATACTACAATCACTCAAATTTATTTGTAAGTACATATTCAAAAAAAAAAAAAAAGACCTATGATTAGACAATCACTCAATTTTATTCGTATAACGTAGAAATTACCTTTTAAGAGAGGTAAAATACACATTCATAAAAAGGAAAATGCTTGCAAGATAGAATTTCTTTTTCACGTATCA